AAATGAGACACACCTCTCCTAAGGTTAGGAACTCTGTTTGTTGTTGTTGTTGTTGTTGTATTAGAATTTGTGAACAGTGCCCAGAAAAAGACCAAAGTGGATTAGCTAAATTGCTGCTAAAATACTAAACTAAAATATGGAAGCTGGACTATGCTGCTCCTAAGTTCTAGATGCAATGTATACACATTGCCTTCTGCTCTTAATGGAAGCAGTTAACTCTCCATACTACTTTTTAAAGACATGCCAGCTGTCTGAATAGGAGCTAACTTGTTCATATATGAAGAAAGGGGAGCTTTAGAGGGGGCCTCAGAGGACAGTTATTCATCAACCTTCAGCCCGTTTTTATATGGAATTTGGTCATGTCTCTCCTATTTGACAGGTTATAGGTATCAATGGGGAGCAGTTGGTTTGTTACTGTACTGAGTTAAGTTTTTCTACTACAGTGTAACAGACTGATAAGGTAAAGGGAAGTTAAGAGTGTTAGATCAAACAGCTTCTGGCAAAATGTTTCTTGTAGCCTATTTTTCCTTTGATAGTATCTTAGTCCAGATGTTGAAAAGATTTAAGTTAGTTTAAAACGAGAACCCTTCAGTAGAGAAAGATAATTTAGCATGTTTCAGGAGCTGAAGGAATCTTGGGAGTGGGAGGGGGCAGGCAAGAATCAAGGAAACAAGCAGCACTGTTCCTTACACAGGTTGTTTTGTTTTAGGTCCGGTTTGCTGCTCTGCTTGCTTTGCTAGAAGTTGCAGAAAAACTTAAGGAGAACTACCTGGTTCTGCTACCAGAATCTATTCCATTCTTAGCTGAGCTCATGGAAGGTAAATGTTATAAAGTGATCTTAGTGAAGGTAAACACGGGCCTGTGACCAACAAAGGATAAGGACAGCATAATTCAAAGATTCAGACAAGGCGATTGCTATAACTGTAAATCACTATGAATTAGCGTGTGGTTTGCCATATTAGTATGGCTTTTACTATGCAGAACACAAACTGAAATGGGTTGTATTGCATCCACCACATTCTTAAAATTCAGTTAAATTAAGGTAGCTTCTTCAATATTATAACCTATGCGGGTCTCTTGGGTTGCATGTTTTAAGTCAGTTTTAATTTGCTTAAGTTTTGAGTCAGTGTTCAAAAATAGTTGGCACTGACCTCATACCTGCTGTTTGAAGACAGTTCTGGCCTTGAAGAATGATCAGGTCTCCCTGTGGTAGCTTCGTAATCACTGTTTGAGCAGGGAGGTTGGACGAGATGATCTCCAGAGGTCCCTTCCAACCTAAACGATTCTGTGATTCTGTGTGATTCTGTTTTACTTACTTTTTCCTCTTTTAACTTGTTTTCTAGATGAATGTGAAGAAGTTGAACACCAGTGTCAGAAAACAATTCAGCAACTGGAAGTCATTTTGGGAGAACCACTCCAGAGCTACTTTTAAATTATCCCCTTTGTTTTCATCTTTTGTCTGTATCTTGTTAACTTCACACATGCAAGTGCTATAGGCAAACTGTCATTCTCATTTTTATCAGAGCTAAGATCTTAACTTTTTTAATAAAATATTGTAAGAATCTGGCTTTACCACATCTGGCTGGTTTGGGGAGTGGGTTTGTTTTTCTGCAAGCCGCTGACTTCCTACTCCCAAGACTAAGAAACTGGAGTAAGCCATAAGCAAATTCTGATAGCTATGCACAGACACCATCCAAAGGTGCGAGACTCGCTGAATTCCACTGTGCTAGGGGCTGCAGACACTGTCCCTGTATAGGGGCTGCACTATGTCCTTGTATAGGAGCTGCTATGCTATGGTACTCACTGAAAGCATGCACTGCAGTCTTGAGAATATGCTTTTCTGTGCTTTTTGGAGAAGTGAAAAAAGCAAGCCCACACAGAAGATAGCGATGTTACAAAACAAAACAACGCAGGACTCACGTAAGTGCTTTAAGAGACTGCTCCCTATTAGATTATTTGCCTAAAGATCAACTTACTTAAACTAAACTGCATTTGACCAAAAAAATCTCACTCTTGCAGATACGGGAAGGACGAAACAAGACAAAATCTAGACAAAGAAGGATCATAGCTACTTAGCTACTCTTGAAGAAAACCATAGTTCACAAGTTTTATTTTCATTTACAGTTTTTATACATCAAAGCTAGTAGTTTATCATCTTTTCAGGTACATCTTATTCTTGAAACTGCTTCAGTCTTTTAGCAGGTATTAAGATATCTTAAACAGGAACATCTTTCAAGCATATACTGACAGACAGTAACTATTCTTAAAAAGTAACAGTATAAAAATTAAGACTGTTGCCAGTTGTAAGGAAAACTGAGTAGGAACAGCTTGTTTCAGAGAGATAGCATTTTAATACAAGAATCTGAAAAAGGATTCATTTTCTATTCCACTGATGGATATCCAAGTCTCACCTCAAATGAAACCATGCCTAGAGCACCTGCGTTCACACATTTTAAAATGAGATTGCTCAGGGAGTGAAGTAGATGTTTCTGAGTTCAACTCACTTAGGAGCCCTTTTCAGATCAAATACAGCGTTTTCAGAAACTCATGACAAGATCAGAACTAGTGGTGGTTTTTTTTTTTTGCCTCATTTTGGAAAAATGAAAGCTACAAATGCTTCTACATGGTTGATTTAAGCCACTCACTTGTAGAGTTGCCACAACCGTGAATGTCAGAGAGGATACCAGTGCAGCAGCAGGCTAAGAAGTAGGATCAAATTCCTCCTTGCCTTTCCCAGGAACTGTTGGGTCAACAGGTTGCTTAATCTAGCCCTGGCAAAAAGGCTACAATCACTAACAAAAAATGGAAGCAGGAAACTACTTTTCATAATTCTATTTTAAATGACTAGGTAGTGGCCCATAAGCAGTAAATAAATAGTAATATTTTCAGATCCTATTTCAGTCTAATTGCTGCTTCACAGTAATGCATGTATGCTATTAAGGAATGACTAGTAATAGTTAAACATACAGAGTGCAGCTGTTAGGCACAGTATGATGCAGCATTTTTTTATTGCTGCATTCAGTAACAGAGGAGATCTATATGAGCAGATAATTACTTATCTTGCCAGGATACTGTAAACTAGGGGAAGATTTAATTTCAGAGTTAGTTAGCAGTTCTGGTACTCGCCTGAACCGGAGCAGCAGATACAGAAGCCCGAATAGATAAAGACAGGCTCAGGAAGAGTCAGCACCAGTTTGTTCTTGACAAGGAAGAAATAAGTGTCAGTAGAATAAGTAAGTTTACTTCTTTCTTTTAGTACCGATTGATTGAAAGCAACTACCAGCTCCTCACATCTAGCAATTGCACATCTCCTGTGACTTCCAGCAGGTTGATCTTTTCAAGCTGTTTAAAGCGATGCTTGTACTCCAGAGTGTGTACACCATTAATCGCAACTTTGAACTGATGGACATCACAGAAAATTATCAGCTGAAAGGAAGAAGAAGAACAGTCAAGTTTTACATTCAGTTAAACAAACTGACTTTTTCAGACAAAAACCGCCTGATGATCAAGCTTGGACTCAAGCAAGCCCTGGTTCCGTTCTAAAAAAAATCCTTCCATGTGAAAGAAACATCAGACGAAGTGGGACTTTAATGAAAAAGTCAGTTAAACTTACTCCTGAGCACAGCTTGAATTACTTGCAGCTATTTAAAAAGAGATCCAGGAGAGATGGCTCTCATGAAATCTTTGCTTCCTGTGGTCCCACTTAGTCCTAAGCTTTCAGGAATGGCAGTTTTGTAATTCTGTATTAATTAGTGGCATGACTTTCAAGCCCCAATGCAAACTATTTTTGTGCAGAATTGCAAGTATGATGCTACATTTCAGTTAATCTTACCTCAAAGTACATCCCTGGACTGAAAGGGAAATTGGCAACTTCCTTTTCTTCTTCTCCCCAGCTGTCATGGAGGTAAGAGTTTCTTACAAAAACTTTAGTCTTCATTCGCGGATTCAGATGTAATGCAATGTCCGTTGAGTCACTTGATTTCAGGTTTACAGAAAAGCTGGAAGACATTTTTTAAGTAAGTAAGTTTGTTATACCAAGACTTTATAAATGTGATGCACTAATCCATGCTGTCTACCAAGCCTTTAACTGATACTCGAACTGTTCTGGAACCAGGACTGCGCTTATCAAAGAACCAAGCAGGCAGTCACACCATGCAACTGCCTCCTTTGCACAGAAGCTTTTGCTGGAGGTGGCAAACATAGGATATGACCCTGCTAGATCTGCTTTCTTACTAACAACTTCCTGTTCATGCCTCAGCAATCTAGGGGAAAGGAAGAGCAACGAGGCACTGAGCAAAGCTGACGGAGTGCAGTCAGTGCTGACTAGGAAGCAGTGTTCTCACAGGAACATACCATGCTACACACTCCACCATCTCTTTCCCTTAACAAGGGGAGGAAATGGAGAGTGGGAGGCTTTGTTTTATGGAAGGGACATTTTAGTCTTTCTGCTAGCAAACTGGTTCAGCCGTGTAAGGAAAGGTTTGAGGATTCTCTGTGCATTTAAGAATGGTGGGAGACCATTCATACAAAACAGTACTTTGTAGGTACAGTAGCTCTGCCCAGGCTGACACATCCTGTAATCCCTGACCTGTCCACTGCACTGGATTCCTAACAGGGAACCTCCAGAGAAGCATGGTCAGAGGAAAGAATGAGCCAAATTTAGAGAAGTGGTTTAGCCTCTGGCAAAGGCCTCATTGAGTCTGAAGAAACACTTCTCTCCCAGATTAACTCCAGCTGTCAGGTTGTTCCCCTCCTCCGGGGAAGCCTAGGAGAACCGCTTACAGTCCACAGGGCAACTGCGATGTTTTGAAGCTATTAATATCTTTCTTGCTGAGACCTAGGAACACACACAGCTGCGTCAACTGAGAGAAAGACTTTAAACAGTTTACAAACTCCACGCAAATCTGTCAAATGCAAAGAGCAGACAACCGACTGTGCTTTAACTAACCCCTAACAGCCTCTTCATGCATATAAGCAGTAGAGAGAGCGCTTTAAACGTGCTAATAAGCTTTTCAAACAAAAACACACAAATGCTACTACTTGAGTATTAAAAAATCTTGTCCAATTTCAAGTCCGTTCAAGCTTTATTGATGAGATTTCTAGACTTGGAGTTAAAATTATTACTAGAGCCTAAAGTGTGTACAGCTGCTGGGAAGATCCAAGTGTGTTCTGAGGAAGCAGGACTGCAAGGCATACACAGAGAACGAATAAAGAGCACACCTCTCAATCTGCACTAACTGCTTCATTTTTAGGCATGTTTCTGCAGTCAAAGACATCCTTCAAGCAAAAGGCATGCTGGAGCAGACATTTACCTAGCTCTGTTTTGACTGTGTTGTGCTCCCCTCCCCTGCCCCCCTTTTTTTAAAAAAAAATCAGGCTGATAAGGAATGACAGATTGCAAAGAAGGCACCTTACTTGCTACGAAAATGATAGCTCCTACTCCCCCCACCAGCTTTTAGCACTCAGTTGTTGTCAGTTAAGCACCTTCATGCTTCCATTCCTCATGTCCCTGAGGGGACATTCCTAGATGCATTCAGAGAAACCTTGTTAACATGCAGCATTTGAGTACGCCAACAACCCATCTCATTCAATGACTCACTTATATTCAGTCTACTTCTGCCAATTTCCTTGCTTTTGCATCTCTTTAGGATAAAAGCCACCCTTGTATCGCATGTGTGCACACTCACATGCCTTGCACAATGCAAATCCAAAACAGATGCACATGATCCTGTGGCGAATTCAGATTTAGTTAAGGAAAAAAACAAAACAAAACAAAAACACAAAACAAAATCAGGTTTTATCTTCACTTTTCACAATGAAGCTGGTCTTTAAGTCATCTCTGAAGTTGTATCCCGCACTTCAGTTTCAGATGATTCCAGACGCAAAATTGCAAGTCATTAAGGATATACTGAGGCAATCGAAAAAGCCTATTTGTTCTCAAGAGTAGCTTAGTTAAGGGCAAGGGTAGGGTTTTTTGTTTTTTTTTTTTAAAAAAAACCAAAACCCCCCACACACCACCAACCCTCAGTAACTTACCTATTTGGGTTTTTGTTCACTTCTCCTTTAATAGCAACTGTGTGTCCTGGACGAAGCGCGGAATCGAGTCTGCCAACATAAGGAACTCCCTAGAAGTACAACCAGTCATAATCTTGAATGCAGCTTACTTTTTCAGTACACAAGCTGGACTTCACTATGGCAGGAAGAAGTCTGACCTATAATTACACATCTGCACCCACAGCTAAAGTTATTCCTACCAATACGTTCCAGGATGCTAACACGGTGGTAAAGCTATACTGACACAAACACATCAATGTTCACTTTTCTTCCCCTAGATCTAGAACCTTGAGTTCAAAATACACATGATCCACAGCTACTTCTGCCATCACTAATGGTGGAGAGGGAAAAATTAGGAAGATGTCTGTGCTGCACTGGGGAAAAGCAACAACAAATGCCTTAATCCAGGGACAGGACCCTTCTAAACACTGAAAAAGCCAGTATCAACAAACCCCAGATTTGATCTGTCACACAGATACTCCAGCAGAGTTTGACACATTTGAGAAGCATCAGCTGATTGAGACAAACTACTACAATAAGCATGAAACTGTGCACTGATTTAGGTTTGTAAAACAGTTATTCGGACACAAACACCTGTGCACAAACACACCAACCTCTTTTCTCTGAAAGCTTCAGTTATGCTTCAGAAGAGTAAGACTCACGATAAGTTTGTAGTCCCAGAGTTGCCTAAATACTAGAATACTAGAAGTAAGGTCCCTGAGTATTCAGTGCTCCAGGCACCAGTTCATAATGATAGATATTGCACGTATTTTTAGTGTTTTGTTTTGTTTTTTTTTTAATTATGCTATTTTGGTCAGGGAGCAAGCAGGGCAGAGATTTTTAGCCTATTTTTTTTAACCCACCATTTGCAAATCACAGTATTATCTATTATTTGGTTTTAGAGGATTGAAGGAAGTAGAGCTTCAACTGACAAGGCAACCAAAATCACGGCCCTCAATGCAACTCTGGCTTCTCCATAAACTATTTATATGCATTCCTGGCTTCTAACCTCTCTTCAGTTTGAGGGAGGTCCTGACTCAAGCCTGGCTACTACATGCTGGATACTGACCACCTGTACAGCTTTTTGCAAAAAAAGATGAGCACTCACTTCGTCTGGGCTCCATGCTGGCTGGGTGCAAGTTCTAACCCTAAGGTGCAACGTTTGCCTCCAGCCTTCTGAAGTGTATATTTACAGTAGGCACAGATCTGTCAGCAAGAGGAAGATGGAGCCGGACAGGTTTGAACATTAAATTGTGGATAAACAGGATGAAATTTTCACTCAGGTATTAAAATTTAGTATCTTCTAACTGGAGGTTGAAATGGTGGCTGCAGATTTGTCCAAATATGAATATCACACAAATACCGTATTTGGCGCTTCTAAGTTTAACAGCCTGACTTACTAAGTCCTATACATAAAAGTGTTGGCGATATTAAACATATTAAGATAAGGCAATTCAGCCTCAGTGTGTCTGCAAAATACTTTTAACACAAGCTTGTTTTGCAAGCATTTCCCAAAGTTGAACAAATGGAGTTATGCTTATCTGAGCAACTCTTTTCGCGTTATTTGTTCCTAAATCTTTAGGTACCTCACCTTTTATTCCTCTGTGTATGGCTGTGGATGCCGTGTTTATCCTTTTTCTGCATGCTTTAAGGAATAGCCTTACTTTGACTAGCAAGTGGAAAAGATGACTGCTGTCTATAAAGCCTCACTGATGTTCATCTCCCAGAAGGTTCTCAATTCCCTTGTTCTGTGCATGTTTTTTCTTGAGAAACTGAGACATTTTCATTCCCCTCCCCCTTTTAACTCTTCACATTTGCTATACGTCTATGTGAGACACTTACGAAGCGTGAACCATCTGGCGTTTCCCCCTACAAAAGAAAAACAAATATTAACTAGGTTATCAGAAAACAGGAAAATTCATTTAACCTTTATAAAAATATACGTACATTTTCTGTGTTTATCTTTGTTATTCCTACAGACGATGGCTGAGCGCCTTGTAAAGACTGCAGAAAAAGAGATATTTAGAGAGCATTGCTAACAGAACTCTAACATAAGATTGTTTTAGAAACGTATGTGGATCTGTGAAGCTTTGAAAGGTGAAACGTTAACATGAGAACGTAGGATTAGGGTCAAGAAAAGATAGCCAAACCCCCATAAACCAAGGAAATGTCCTGAAGATCAATTAGTGAAGCCACACTGAGATTTCTAAAGACGACCTCATTGCAGTTTGCATCCTTATTCAACAATCAGAGCAACACCTGTTAACCCCTTAGCACCTGAGGGTACCCACTCAGCTTTCCTTACAGGGGTAGGAATACCAGGAGGGCTGGTCCATCCAGAGATGGGATCCCAGAGGAGCCCTGAGATTCCAGGCATCCCAGTCCCTCCCTAGTGCATATCACGTGAACCATGTGTGGCAGTGCACACACACAGATTCTGGCCTAGCCTTGGCAAATTGCATCTTCGGCTAGTTTATTTCAGTACAACCCTCTCTCTTCTTCCTGAGAGGAGTATGCTAGAAGGAAAAGTAAAAAGGAAACAACAACCCTCTCCCTTCATCTCTTCCCCAAAGGACACATGATCAGCACCACAGACTAAAACAACACTCCTTTGTTTTGTCCTTAGGGCAGAAACCAACCTCTAGCACTTCCTTGCCCCCCAAGCTCCTCTTGAAATCAGTCCTCCAAGACTGGGATTTAAACAGCTTTAAATTACCAATATGCTGGCAACATGCCCGAGGCCAAGTGAGGAGGCCCAAACAAAGAATCGGTACATATGGTTTACGATGGATCAGCAGCTGGACGTATCTTTAAAGCTCAGGCTCAAATCATCACTATTCCTTCAATATAGTTATTAGTCTGCTGATCTGAGTTACACCTGATGTTTGGCAGCAAGAGACCTAAGCTTTGCCCACACTGAAGGGAGGCTGGGGCAGAAAAGACCGAGTATTACAGAGGAGTAAGTATGCTGCCTCACTGAGTGGAAGGAAGGAAGGAGGGATGGAGGGACAAGGTGATCATCCATCTTCTGTATCTCCCTGGAAATTACCATCTTCTGCTTCAGATCCTGAAGTGTCACCATTCCAGAGTAGAAGGGGAAAAGCACAGGAAAGAGCCAGATGTTCAGTTCCTTACCATTGGTTTACTTTCTCCAGCAGACCTTACAACAGAGCTCAGAAGCAGCCCAGCATTGCTTGCATTTCAAATTCTTTGCAGTTTGGTCTGAGTGCAAGTCAAACCATAAAACCTTCCCCTTAGAAAGAACACTGCCCATCCCCCCCATCTGACAAATATGCACATATTTCTAGTTATCGCTTCATTCAACAATTCAGTCATTTTTTGTTGGGGGGAAAAAAAAAGGGTTCTGCACGCAAGTGGTTCCAGTTGTGGCTAAATACAGACACTTGGAAGCACTGAATTCTACGAGAGTTCATTTTGGAGCTTCCAAAATATTTGAAAAGTCTAGTTCACCCCCCCCACCCTCCCAACACTTTTTTTCCAGTCCATTTTCATACCATCTGTCCTGTTAACTTTGTAAGCTGTAGGCTTCATCACCCTTTCCCCTTCAACCTCAAGGCTAAAATGGGAAGGCAATTCCAGCTGTTCATATGTTAAACTGCGGAGGAAGATTCCCCAGTATTGAAGTTGGACTGTGAACTGCTTTTGTTACTTCCGTTTCACCATAAATCCTATTCTGTACCTTTACAAGTTAAAGAACAACAACAAACCAAGGAGTCCGTTATCTGTATAACTTACATTAGAAATAAAATCTATACTTTTGATCCGCACTTTGCCATATATCCCAAGAGTATCTATTCTTTCAAGGCTAATCCTGTGGTTGTACAGCAGCAAGTGCTTCTCATTTACAGTCACCTAAAGAGACAAGAAACGAAACAGGAAAGTCCCGTTAAACATACATTACACCATTCGAGTGTCAAATTATCTGCAAGCATCTCCATTCTATGCTGCTTTGGTACAAAGGCAGGAAGTGTTTCAGAAGATTCAGAGCAACTAAGTCCAGCTCATCCATGAGTCACCCTCTCTCTTTCCATTGTGAGGGAGATTTGACTATACTAAAGGTTGCATTTCCCTTCTTTTGATTCCATCACCCAATCGCTCGCCAATATGGTGTTACCAATCTGACAGAATCTATGTTATTGCACTCTAACAGAAAAAGACAAATGCACCTCAAATTGCCTTCTCCAAGAGAAGGACCCAGTTTACTGTAAGGTCTGCCCTTTGCACATACAAAGGGCAAGGTAGAGTCATTAGCCACGGCAGAAAGTTATTTGCCTACTCAGGCAACTTTGAAGGAAATCATGCAAAGGGAGAGGTCTGGTTTACTTCACACCTCTTTAAAGAGGTTTCTAAGCTTCTCTGTAATTAGACTGTACGTACGTAACAGAGAAATCAAGGCTTATAATTATTTTGTACATACACAAGATATCTCTGTATGTTAGCCCAACAACTGGCTAAAGGGAAAAAGAAAGAAAACAACAACCACAAGAACTACAGCCTAAGCTCACCTGGAACTTATCCTTCAAAACCATGATGATGATTTCAAATGACTTCCCCTTTTGAAAGGGCATCTCATAAGTGATCTCCTCCCAGCCCCATTTTTCTTTCTCCAGTGTGTTGCAAACAACACAACCAGATCTTTTGAAGCGAGGGTTGAAATGAAAGGCCACATCAGCACGAGGTTTTATGCTACTGCCACACTGGAAATCCACCTGGAATCTAAACATAAACAGCCAAGACAAACCACACTGAGCTCTAGCTCTAGAAATCGCCTTTGAGTTTAATACATAAAAGCACTTTGCGTTTTACTGTTGAACCTCAGAACAGGCAGACACCGAGAGTGTTGTTGGATAAGAAGAAACAAATCTTTGTTTAATGCCTATGCATCTCCAAAGTGTTCTCCTGTGATTCACTGCAATACATTGAAAAATTTAAGCATTTACTTAAGCTCATCCTTCACATCATCTGAGCGTCTCATTGTGCTCATCACCTTCCCTCCCATCACGTTCCTAGGTAAAATAACCAAAGTCAGAAATGAACTCTGGGCCAAGTCAGGGAACAGAACTTCCATGCTGTGCCGTAAACAGTAGAGTTCACATTGCCTCTTCCCACTTGTAAGACAACTCCGTCAAGCAACACATTTGATTCCCAGCTGAGAATCTCTTCAAAAAAGCAGATATATGCCATGAAGGGGGTGGGAGGGGGTACAGTCAGAGAGCAGGCAAAGCAAAAAGAGACAAGAGAGGATCAGCAGAATGCAAGAAGCAGTTCATGTTCCAATTCTCATCATGAAGTTTTCATTAACCCCTCAAGCCTGTAGTCACTGTCGTGCTATCACAAGGATTTAGAATAAGTCTTTATTTGAAATCGTAGGTAAGACCCTAGAAATACTTTCATTCATTATATGTTTGCTCACACGATTACACAGTGCACAGCAAAACCACAGCCATTACCTGTCTGCATCATCAGGAACACTCCCATGTATTACAACCAGCTGTCCAGGAACAAGGCCACCAAGAATTGTCCCAACATACGGAATGATCTAGAAGAAAGGGGGGGAAAAATTCAAAATAAAATTTTGGGATCAAGGCAAACAAACAAAATAAATAGTTTTTAAAATAATATTCTAATACTTAATTTTGTGGCACTCTAGCCCATTAAAGGAAAGACAACTAGCATTTCATTTAAAAGAAACACAGAAGAGCATTAAGCATCTGCCTCAATGAGAAAGAAAATCCCAGTGGATTTTTATGTATGGAAATCAAGTTTTTCATGTAAAATTAAAACTTACAGCTTCCATTCTTGGCCTTCAAACGAAGAGTGGCAACATTTTATTGTCTCACTTTTAAGAAAGTTTGAAGATATGCATCAAATTAGGTCATTTCCAAGGGCTGACTATTTGGTGGCAGCAGAAGGCAAACTATCCCGCTCCTTCACAACCCTTCTGACACCAGACCACACCAGCTGCCTTTCTGCCTGTTCTTGCTCCCTTTGGAAAACAGTAATGGGAAGAGAAGAGAAGCAACGATGGCAGTGTGTCATCTTAGTAAAAACTGCAGAAGCACAGGAAAATACCTCATCCTAATGAACTGCAAGGTGCACTGAAACAGCCACATTCAGGAATCTCAGTCATAATGGTATCTGCAATTTGCAGTCTGTCTCAGAGCAACAGCCTTGCATATTTTCTCTTCCTTATTAATAGCTGGAGAAGGTAACACATACATTACGCTAAACTGAAAAGGCAACATGGTAGGAGTTGTTAAGCCATATGAGGAGACATGTCAGTTTAAAAAAAAAAAAAAAAAACCAACACCTGCAACATGGCTAAATATGGCAAAGCCTCAGACATGCAGACAGACATATCACCTTGACCACCTCCTGGAGCACCAAGCATTTCACGTAGGGAGAGGCAGCACTATAAGAGAAAACCACGGAGGCTGCGAGGAAACTGTTCGGGAAGGACAGCTGTATGTCTGCATCTCACCAGGTGAGATTTACATTGAAAAAGAAAGTGAGTGGTAGCAAGTGTTACATTTGCTCTGGTTAACAGACAAATTTCTGCTCAGGTTTCTTTTGCTCGAAAAATATATGAACTATGGAACTGTGTGTAAGATCTTAGAATATCTTTGAAATGAAACATCAATTGTAAACAAGAGTTCCAAAAAATTAACAATGAAAAATGAACAGATAGGAAACTCTATTCTTGAATAGAGTATTTTACCATAAAGGGGAAAGTTGTGATTTTTTTTTTAATATACATATATAGCATCATGGAAAACAGGAAGGTATTTGATAACACTACATTTGCAAAGAGGAGAGGGGAAGTAACAACAACTAAATCGAGAGTTTTGTGTTAATAGCTCTCTGCTCACTTCTGCCAATAGATTCACATCCTTTCCTGCCCTCTCTCCCCTTCTCTTCCCAGCCACCCACAATTTGCACAAAACCTAGCATACAGTCAACTGCTACATCAAGCAAAACAGATTCAAAGAACTTACTTCTCAAGTAAAGAAGCTTACAACTGGTTAAGTTGTTCAAAGTCTCATGTATTTTACTGGCTTAAGTATGCACAGTTAGAAGAGGGGCAAGATGTGAAAAAAAGTATTAAAAGTGAACATCTAATATCTTCAGTTGCTTGCAACTGCCCTAAGTCTTCATACTTTATCAGCAAAAACAGCTCCAAATACCTTCAGGTAGACTCCTACCAGCATTTTACAAACAAAGCACCTCAGGAAAACAAAACAAACACAGATAGAAAGGGAACAGGGACTGTTCCTATTAAAAAAGTTTATTCCATTTAGCTCATTCCCGTTTGCAGGGAAACTTTTCCTTAGTACAGGCAAAAGAGGACATTAACCACATGCAACAAGACCATATTGTATAGCCAATGTATTGTATAGGTGTCACTTGAGGACCACCCCTATGAAAAGATCATTTTTAGTCATCTGGTAGTCTTCCCTAGTGAATGAATAAAAAGGCAGAAATCTCTTTGCCCGCTGGTAGTGTAGCAGCTTGGTTCCCCGATAAATAAGCTGTACACAGGAGGCTCACAGTTTTATTTGAAGAATAAAAAAAAGCATCCTGATTATTTGCTGTACTTAACACCGCTTCAACACACTACTCCTGAGTGGTTTGGAACTCTGAGTATTGCAGTAGGGTAAGAAATAGCTGGTTCAGTCTCCAAAGATGAACCAATGAAAAACAGATAGACACAGGCCAGGGACGCTGGCCCTAGACTACTCTAGTGGGTCAAAGTTACTCACCCCTGGAGGAGCTGTGGCAAAAAACTTCTTCACACCCGAAAAGGATGCATTTATCCAAAAGCAAAGAAGGTTGCTCCCTCAAGTCCTCAGAAGTTCAGGCATGGAATGTGAACGGACATTATTCAGCATTGCCCAAGCGTAATACTACAGACTTAATGAGGTTTTGTCATCATAGAACACACATGTAATTTCCTTATGTCTTAAGGCTTTGTGAGGGGGTGGTGGCGGAATTCCTCATCCATTAAGAAGCGAGGCTTGTGACATCAAACGGTCCATCATCATCCCAGCTTTCTTCTAAACTTCCGAGAATTACCTTTGAATCTCTTTGGCTAATATTAACCAAGGTTGAGAGGTCTCAAAGATAAAGTTACTGCTAATGTCTGCCAATTTTTATAAAACAAGAGGACAATTTATAGCCTTACTGAGGAAGGGGCTGTGATAACACAGCTTTTATCTAGCTCACTGGGTAGCAGGGAGCTGCCCCCTCAGGAGGGGCATAACACTTCTTGCCAGACAGGCTGAGTAAAGGGCATAAGGAGGAAAGTAGGATTTTTTTGGACAGTTCAAAACAGTATGGTAGCGAAGAAATATGACACAGACTCAAACGTACAAGAGAGCTCTTAAGTTCTACTGCTCATGGAACAATTCACTTAAACAACGAAAACTTCACAGCATGCCTCCCTCCATCCCTACTAAGTTTTATCTGGTGGTATAGACATACCTATACCATATAGCTACACAAAGATCAATAGCAAGCCTGAACCCATAGTTCAATGAAGGTCACACATACAATAGCTCAAGCAGTCTATCACTGACTGAACCAGCTAGTTGGAGAGATTTTTTGCAAACAGCAAAGCAGTGAGATCAAACCTGAAGTCTGAACAATCAGGTCTCATTTGGGGTTTGCTCTCACAGATGCCATCTGCTTTGCATTTGATATGAGGGTATCATGAACCCTCCCTACTTCTTTCCCTTCAGCAGCTTCACGTGGCAATCACAGAACAGCTGGAAGGCACCTCTGGAGTACAATACTCTGCTCAAAGCAGACTGAGCTAGTCTATTGCTAGAGCAGGTTGCTCAGGGCCTTGTCTTGAGCCTGTCCTGAAGCCACTGGCATGTTCTTTCCCCAGTCCCAAATCCTCACTCTTATTCCCACCCTAAGCTCTTGACCGCTAAGCCCTAGTTTTACCCCTCTGTATTCTCCAGCCTGGTCTTGTCACCCATCATACTCAGTCTCCTGGCAGCCATTGAGTTTTGCTACAGTCTTTCACTCTTTCTTACACAGAGAATTTGTCCTAAACACCTCCTAATCCATCTCTTCACACCTGCTCTCCTCCCACACCCAAACTAGGTTCCAATACCCCCAGTCTTTCACCCTCCCTTTTCTTTTGCAATTCAGGCCTTCCAGCCATCTCCACACAGCTTTTGCCTCCTCTCCTACCTGGGTTCTTGTCAAAAAATAAGGTTGAAGCTCCTTCCCCATCACCTCTCCAGTCCAATAGATATGGGAGCCCTGCGCAGGCATGCCCTCCTATACACTCCATACAGATTCTTCAGAGACTTTAATGTTATAGAAATGTTTTAGCATGGAATGTTAAAAATATTATTTTCTGCAGGCTCAAAAACTTACTCTTCTAAAGAGACAACAAGACATACGTGTCCAGCTCATCCCTTTAGCCTCATGCCAATATCAAGCAACTGTCCCAGAGCATGAGAATGCTCAAGCTTTTCAGAGAAAGTCTCACCAACTCTAAACTTGTCTAATAACATCCTGTCAACTCCTCTCTCTGCAACAGCTGAACTGCTGTAGCTCAAGTTTTCCACAAAACAAGATTTAGTGCAAGACAAGACATCAACTATGGATAAAGATTCCAAGTTTAATTTTTTCAGACTGAAGTTATAAGCACCAGAAAACAATCTTGAGAGCTGAGAGACACCACCCATGTTTATAGAGAAATAGGACTGAAAATACTGCTTATCATATTTTCACCGCTGTTCCAACACATTCTGCAAGAATGCCAGACATTCACACAAGCTGTGTATGAAAAAGCATTATCCTCCAAGGCTGAGACAGCTTCCTTCCTGTTTTGGAGGTATTAAGCCTTAAGTCTTAATTTGTTTACAGGACAAATTCCAAGCACCATCAACTCCCAGCACCACCTGTAAGTTCTTCTCAAATACTTGAGCAACGCAAAGAGTTCTTGGTAACACTCATCACTGTGCAAACAGCATGAACGCTTTACTAATTATTGACATAAAACTCAGTATTGACAGCAAAATCCCATTTCCCAGGGGAGAAGCTGTTTACATGACAGGACAGTTACCGGGTTATTGATTGTCTTCTGTGGCTCATCCGAGGACATCATCTTCCCTCCTCCAGTTTAAGTCTGTCAGTTCTGTGTGACCTCCTGTTGAACTGTGCTTAGAAGTCTCACTGGTCAGGCAGCACCAAAGCAGTGATCCTTTCAAAAAGCCAAAGCTTTTAATTAGAAAGAAGAAAAGTGAAACTACATGAAACAAAGTGAAACCCTTCAGAGCATCCTGTCAAACAGCACAAGAAACAATGCAAACACCCTTCCCTTCTTTCTAAGGAATTTGCTGGAGTTTTGTGATACGAAAATTAAAAGCTTGGTTAAATAAGAAACACACTACCCTAGTAAGGGACAGTGCACACATCCACATGCAATTTTATCAGCAGCTTCCTGAGGGGATTATGTATGCTGAGACAGAATGCCGCACCACAGTATCAAATCGTCATTGTACAGGAAACACTGATGACTCAGAGCCCCTTTAGCTGAGCCTCAATAACTCTCTATTTGCACCTGACCCCTGCCAGCAAACAGGGAAAAGATACCCAGTACAAAACACAGTTTTTCAAGGTAAACAGCCATTTTGTTTCTTTCACAACTTTAGGTCCTATTCCCAAAGTTCTCATGGGAGACAAGCCCTGGAGGTAGAACTTCTTCCTTTTTCCAGTTCTAGCTTACATAAAGTTAAGAGACGCTAGCCAAAGGAAGCAAAGGGTGTTTTCCATTTCTTCCTTCAACATACACAGTCCTTGGCCTCCACAAATAACTACAGGAGTTTGTAAGACGTGCATTAAATGCACAGCACTAATAAGGAATGAAACAACAGCTAGTGGGTATATCTAGCTACACTGTAAGTTCTTTAGCAAATTCCCTAAAGAAAGTGACCACAATTCAGTGCTCAACTTCAAAACTACTAGGCAATTATTTCTTGCACGTTCTGGAGAGACACCTTAAGATAGCATGCAAACTATGGGGGGAAAAGAGAGGCATAGAGGGAGTAAAACAAATGAGACCGTCGTCATGCAACAGTAATGCTAGAACTCATAGCAACATTTCAACATTTAACAAAATGAAAAATCAAACGAACAACAACACACAATCAAGACTCAGTGACCTGCTCCACAAAGACCTGAGATTAACCTTCTGCAATGATTCAACAATGCAGTGGCCCCTAGCAGCATCCAGGAGGGTATTAATTCACCTACCTAAGTCCTAACATGCAATTCATAGAACATAAGATGTTGCACGATCAACCTAGACTGTATAACTATTTTGAGCCTCTCATGGGATACCACCACCAATTCGCAAACAGAGCATGTGAAGACAGGCAAGTTTCAGTATCTTTATGCTAAAAATGGGGATGCCAATGCCAAAGCAAGCAACACTTCTGGCCATAGCATGGGAAAGTCTAATAGCAGATCCAGAAAGGAAGCCCAAATTTACAGTTCAGCGTCCAGCAGCCTACCAACTGAACTTCCCCTGGTCTGCAATACCAACCTAGACCTCATTTGAAGGGGGATCCTGCAACGGAACCAGCTCTAGAACTTGGTTGCATATGCCCAAACTTAAGCCCACCATTGACAGCTTTCACAGATCAGGTGGTACTAGGGCAAAGTGATAGTGTTTTATTTGCTTGTATTAAAAAAGGAGGCCACAACAACGAGGGAGCGCTGTACTCTGGGCACTATTTGACTGAACCCAGGAAGAGATGGGTCTGCAACTGCAAGGTTTAGCTGTGTTCTTTTATCAGAACAATTACTGCAAGTAAACATTATGCCAAGTCCTAAAACCACAACATTATACAGGCAGGGTTTTCTAACGATATTTTTAGAATTAAAAAGAAATATACATATTTACGTGTGTGTGTACACACACACACACACATACATATATATATATATATATGTATACCTTTTCCTATTAATTCACAAATGACAAAGTCTCATCCAAAAGAAACAGGAAGACAGGAAGGCCTACCATCAGCTACGACATTATCACTTTCTGACACACAGAAAACATCTCTTGCAAGGCAAAAAACAAAAAACAAAAAAAAGTCAAAATTAGGACAGAATTTATAATTAAGGCCAGACTTTGTATCAAGGCAAACAAGGTTTCCACAAGAAGCATAAGCAAGAAACTTCCTGGATATTCTTAGGCAACTAGAGTTTAAAAAAAAAAAAAAAAACACACACACCAGCATATCCTCTGGCTGTAAATCCAACGCTATAACATGCTTTAAAAAAAAAAGAAGAGTAAAAGCAAACAAAAAACCCTACAGGAGTATAGTTTCACCCAGAACTACAATACTAAAGCTTAATAAAGCCCCAAACGACCCCCGAAGCACTCGCGTCTCCGCAGAACGCGCCCCTCGCCTCGGCGCCCGCAGCCCAGGCAGAAACCCCTCCAGGCAGAGGCAAAAGCAGCGGGAGAGGAATTATCGTTATTATTTTTAACCCCCGGGCTCCCCCCTAAAGGGA